ATATGTCCTTTCCTAACCATTAATTCCTCTGGAAACAAAATAAAACAGAAACAAAACACCTCACCCCACCAGGAAAGAAAAGGGCTTAGACAGAGAAAGCAAAAGCCATGCGAGCACAGATGCCCAGCATTTAGTAAACAATTTGGATACAGAAGGCAAAAGAATCTAATCTCAGGCCCCCATGATGCGGCAGTAGAGAACAGATTAAAAGACACCAGACAGAGGAGTCCAGCAGGGGCTAAAACACGGGGAGGATTTTCCCATTCGGAGGCCTTTGAGAAAGGAGCAGGCAGCTTGCTGGCAACCAGAAGAAAGATGCACATGTTTTCTCTGCGTTAATCTTAGCAACAACGCTAAGCCGCTGATTGTCAGAGGCTCGCCCAGATTCAAGCGATCTTTTCCTGTTTCAGATGCGAAGCCATGCACTGCCATCCTAGTCGCCAAAGGTTCACACTCTTACGCTGAGCCATCTGCGTTTAAAAATCCTCGTCGTCCAGCTCCTTTCCTCTGACCTGTGATGGTCCGTAGACGACTGGGTGCTAAGAGCTCTCAACAAAAGGAATGCCCACAGAAGGTCTTCTTAAATTCATTCCTGCCTCCACCGTGAAGAGAAGGTATAAAAACAGCTCTCTAGAAGAGAATTCTTCTCTGAGATCACTTAGCTCTGTGATACACATGGCTTCTCTTCACAGAGATTCTTATTTTGTCCCTTAAACATTTTTAAAGTTTGGAGATGTCAGAACTTGCCAGACTAAGCTTCCAGAGGAAAATATAGCCAAGAGCCCAAAGGAAATCCCTGTTCAAATGTTAGTAAGTTTCATTGGGGTTTAGACATTCATTACAGGAATCTTAATTTTTTTATAGTTCTTATTGACAACAGCTAGTTTCAGTCTTCCCTGTGTGGTGTCCTCTGGATTCTGCTGCTCAATGCCCCGCAGACGTCCCTTTTGTAATGTCTTGGAATTGCAATCATACCTGTGCTTTGAGAGTCCTTTGTCTTATATCTGCAGCGTGAGGTCACCTCCATCCACCTCTCAGCAATCAATCTTTTTTAATTTTCTCCTAAGTCCTGTTTCCGCTATGTGTTTATCAATTTAGATATGTACAGAAATCTTTGTGTGTGTGTGTGTTTCCATAGCTTATCTTTCTGTTTCATTTCCCAAAGAGCCTGAAACTGCTTCCACAACATACAAATTCACAAAATGATAAAATAAGAATCTCAGAATAACAGATTAGGTTTTGCCTGAGTCCATTGTGCATTGCGAAGGCTAAGGGTTTAGAACTGTCATCCGTGGCCAAGGCAAAGAAAGAAACGCCATGTGGAGATTCACAAGGTTGTAAGGTTCAGGGCAAGCTGGTACCTATAAGGAAGCACAGCTTTTCTGGGTACTAGGCTGGCAGAGAAATTCCTCCAATGAGAAGTGTCTTAGATGATCTATTGAATACCAATCTCACGTGATACTTCATCATAACAGACTTTTCTGGAGGCTGACATTGGGATACCAAGGTTGATTTAGTTTGTGCCGAGCTGGAGCGACTGATCCCTTATTCTCAGACTCATGATCCTCCTGCTTCTGCCTCCTTCAGCAAATCCTACCAGCATGCGCCACAACTAGCAAGATCCCTTATTCTCGATTGCCATCAGTCTCCTTCATTGGGGTAGCAACGGCAAAACCATTTGCTTACATTTCAAAAAGGAGTGCCTTTATATTTGACTTGCCCTGCAGCTGAGGATGGCTGAATCCTGCTACCTCCACAGCCCAAGTACTGGGTGGTGTGTGCCACCACACCTGGGTTATGAGGTGCTGGCTATCAAACCCAAGGCTTCACATGTGTCAGGCAAGCTCTCTACCATTGGAACTGTGCCCCATGTCCCACTTCATGGTTTAAGACAATGGAAGGAAAGGAAGCAAGCTTCGTTTCATACCTGGCATAGAGTAGGAGATTAAGTTTTTCTGGGCCTGCAAAGGTGGTCCAGTGGTCAAAATCATGTGTTCCTCTTGCAGAGAACCCAAATTCGGGCCCCAGTATCAACGTGGTTACTTACAACTGCCCGGAACTCCAGTCCCAGGGGGTCTGATGCCCTCTTCTGGCCACCATGGGCTCCTGCATGGAATGTGAATATGCATTAACATAGGCTCACACACATCCACACCCACATAGGCTCACACGCATATACATCCAC